GACACCTCGCTTGCATTTGGAAAGCTGAATAAAGTTATAAAAGGGGAGAAATACATATAAATTAGGTAAACATATATAAATTTATATACATGTATATATGTATGTCTGTGTGCCTGCATGTACTCGAATCTTTGCTAGCTTCTTTTTGAGCCAAACGTTCTTCTTTTCAGTTTTTTAGCTTTTTTTCTGGCTTTATCGAACTGAGTTAAGTAAACGTTTATTTTTTTTCGTTCTGCATAAAATTTGCTTTAGAACAGTTTTATATTTGTACAAAAGCTAAACCAACATTGACTTTACAGTAAAGCTTCCATACCAGAGTTTATACAATAAACATTTCATTTTCTAGATTAAGTCTTCTACAGAATAGGATGTGTAGGAAAGAATCTGTAGTAAAAATTTGAATGCAATGATTCTACAGTATATATTCTTTGGAATACAATATACAATATTCAATTGTAATACCTTACATTAAATATGAAATAAAGATTCTACACATTGACTTTCAAAGAATAGATTTCCCTTAAAATTTGTTAATCATTTCAGTCCAACACGTTCACTTTAGCGAGCTTTCACTGTACACACATACACTCCTATATATATGTCAAGTCTTGCATAAAAATCTATAAACTTTTACTTCGACTAGCTGGCAATTGCTTTTACAGGCCTCTAACTCAATTTCTGTTATATTGGTCGCCCAAATGTTCAATACCCACGCAGGACACCCCGCCACACCTTAAGCCCAGCGCGTTAGGCCTTGTCTATGAGCTGCTCTATGATTTATATACTGCGAATGTACATATGTAGTAAAACCAAAAGAAATGGCCTGGCTGCTAATTGAAATGTCTGCTGGTCTGGTCTGGTTGTTTTTCCTGCTGTGTTCAGCAGAAAAATCACAAAAAATCCCATTTTCGACGCCTTGGTCTATGACGTTGCTCGCAAAGAGGATGAAATATTTACCCAATTAAAATTAATGCACAATTAATTGTCAGCAAAACGCTGGCAACATTTTCTATGTAACCAAAAAAAAAAAATAAATAAATAAAAGGAAAAAGAAGTGAAACATTGCCGTGCAAATGAACAAATGACTCGTATCGTATATACAAGCTTTATATGCTACGTATTTAGGCAGATATACATATATATAAAGATATACTATATGTATGTATATATTCGGTACATGTTGTATATATTGTGCACACATGAGTGCGCAAAAGAAATAAAAACAATTTGTTGTGCTTTGAAGTGAATACGCATTGAGGAGGTGTTTATGGAAACGTTATAAGAAATATATATAAATACACACACATTTG